ATATATTTTGCATTGTATAAATTCACTTTTCCACATCCAAAATGTAATTGTAATATATAAACAATGTTTGTAAATCCCAGGCCCTGAAGATGATCTCAATAAAAATCGAAACGGCACGATAAAGAAAATGTTTTTCTGAAACCTACATCACACCAGACCGCATCTCACGATTTCTAAATAAATATCGATTAACGGTCACTAATCACCACACACTTAAAACATAGTACTTTTTGTTAATATCACTATAAATAAACAGTATTTATGTATAAATATCTTTATATGATAGTTATTGATTCAATTCAAAACTTAAATGGTAACCTTGTGCCAAAATATTCATGTACACGTAACAATTTTTTTTTGCAATTTATAATCACATTTGGATTATCTAAATCCTCTAACCCTTATACCAAGATTATTTAACGTGTACAGAAATTAAATTATTATTAAAACAAATAGCATACTGTACATACTTATAGAAAATTATTATAGTGCTCATAGTGCTGATTTTTTTTCCATTTTTTATCATTTTGGTGTGCCAATCCATGTTGTTTAGTCATTGAGACCAACAAACAACCTACGAAAAAGACCAACTTTTAAATACCAAAGTCTTTGTTAAACCTCTTGTAGTAAATTTTCTCTGTACTACTGACAAAATGGGATGCTGTCAAGGCATCATTTAAAAGGTTCTGGCTTTTGTATTTGCAAAACTTTGCTATAAAACTCTTAATAAATGTGAAGAAGTTCAGTGCATTTTATTATTTTATTTTGTAGGACTGTTAATAGGCCTACAAAACATGTGTACCTGATTAACTTGCAATATCTTTAATATATATTTTGCAAGTTAAACAGGAATGTATAAAATGCTGTTTGAGTGTCTGAAAAAAGACAAATCTTTCAGCAAATAAATGAGCAAAACAAAAAACAATAAAAAAATAATCCCTTGAGATGATAAGAAATATTTTTAATTGATAGCACTGATGTCAGAGTGAAGTTTTATCTCTTGCCAATTAAAATAGGAGGGTCTATCTCAATAAAAAATTTAGCGCTAAAATTTATTGAACTAAAAATAGTCAAAATAAATTTTAATATTAATGAACCTAGTCTTCTATGTATAAAGTGCTATTGTTTATCCTACACAAACACCAAAAAATAAAAGCAAAACATAATAATGATTCAAACCGTAATTTCTCAGTTTCATCCATATCTATGAGAAAAATTGAATAAAATAGTACCATAACACTATTAACAAGAAATAAAAAACAATTTTAGTGTAGTTAAACATTTTCCCTGATTTTTGTTTAAGAAATCCAGGAACAACCAGTTTTCATTGATAGTGCACAATTATGAAGGTCAACCAGCTAAACGGTGGGGAGGCAGAGTTGTGTGTTTCAGTTCTAATCCTACCTACAATCTAGCAGTAAAGCACAATGGATTTCTCTGAAAAATGGTAAGTAACATAGATAAAACTGTGTTTAGATTTAATCAAATAATTTCAAATAATCAGGAAGGAAAACTGGAGGAACAACCTCACATCATGGCAAAACAAAATCTCCTGGATTTATAAAAATCAAATTTTGACGGATGTCGAAATCCATGTTCATTATGATCAAAAGAAAAAGGTATAAAGTTACTATTTATTTGTGTGGTGATTAGTGACCGTTAATCGATATTTATGTAGAAATCGTGATATGCGGTCTGGTGTGATGTAGGTTTCAGAAAAACATTTTCTTTATCGTGCCAACATTTCGATCTTTATTGAGATCTTCTTCAGGGCCTGGGATTTACAAACATTGTTTACATATAANGAAGACAAACACTTTGAGTGAGTAGAAATACTTTGATTGAATATATAAAAAATATATTTTGCATTGTATCAATTCACTTTTCCACATCCAAAATGTAATTGTTATATGTAAACAATGTTTGTAAATCCCAGGCCCTGAAGATGATCTCAATAAAGATCGAAACATTGGCACGATAAAGAAAATGTTTTTCTGAAACCTACATCACACCAGAACACATCTCACGATTTCTAAATAAATGTAAAAAAAAATAATAATAAAAAAAATAAAAAATTACTATTTATTTATGTGTAATTTCAATACTAAATTTTATTCCAAGGTTTTCAAAGCTCATAAGTTTGTGTTGCTCATGTCGAGCGAATACTTTGAACCACTGTTTGAGCCGGGGAAATGGGACGATGACAAAAATCAAATAAGCATCAAAGATGTTGAACCGAGTGCATTTGAACGTTTTTTGGAGTTAGTATTTCACTAAGTTGAAGTATGTAAATTGTAAATTATTTTTCTTTATTTCAACTGTTGTTGTTTACTTTGTTTAAAAACCCGACAGGTTCATCTATTATAAAACAGTCAACTTCAACAGTGTAAAAGAAGCAGCGGAGTTGTTGGATATCGCTGACAGATTTCTTATTGAAGACCTTAAAGATTTGTGCGAAGGCTACATAGGAAGAACCGTTAACTACTCTAATGTATTCGACTATCTTGAATTCGCACAACTGCACAACTGCGACAAGCTTGAACAAATTTGTTCTGAGGTAATTAATATTGTGCCAACATTATGAATTTATATTTAGTCAGATTATATCTTAACGGCCAATAGAAAACATATTTTTAAATTATTATTTTTAAAAAAGAAAGATACATACAGAAATATTGCAACATAAGATGTTCTTAGATAAAATTATAACTGAATTACAGCAAATACAAATGGAAACAAAAGGCATTTTGAGTAAGAATAATTTTGAAAACCTTACCAACCAGTCAATATCAGTTATTTTGCAACAAAATTTCTTAAACATAAAAGAAATTGACTTGTTTAGGTTTGTCAAAAGTTGGATAGAGCATAGAACAGAAAATGGAGGTAAATTAAATACTAAATTTAAAAGGTTTTATCTTTAATCGTAATTTTCCCACAGAGGCGCTGACAAAAGAAGAACAAAGACATTTAATGCAACAGTTTTCGTTCAAGAGTATGACATGTAAGGAGTTTGCAGATGGACCTGCTGAAAGCGGCATGATGTCGGAAAATGAAGTACTGAGCATCTGTCTGAACATGATGTCAAAAGACTGTCAGCGGCCTTATCCTGAAGGATTTAGTCAAACAGTTAGAAACACAGTGAGAGCTCAATCAATAGAATTTAGTTTTGACAGCATAGGGTACATTAGCGCTATGTTTTACGGCTATGAAATTGATTTTGAAGTCGATAAAGATATAACAATAAGTGGATTAAAGGCAATTATCACATATAACAATCAATAAATAAAAGACAATCATACATAAAAAATCTCAATTTTTTTTTTACAGATGTGGTCAAGAGAAGGGAGTCACGGTTCAGTTTACAAAGAGAGGGTGTTGATTATATTTGAAGATAATACACAATGCTTCCAAGTGATTTATAGAAAATTGTTTGAAAAAGAAGTCACATTTTCTTCAGCATTCAGCCTGAACTTTGACAGAAAAGTGAAAATAAGAAAAGACCGGAGATATTCAATGGTGATTGGAGTTGGAGAGTACGCTTATTATAAATTAACCAAAGATTTAGACGGGAAAATACTCAAAGGACCAAACATCACATTTAAATTTTTTAGCAATTACGATTGGCTCTCTAGATTACCAATTTCAACTTTGATTTTTGAACCAAAATAAATTAGTTTTACAAATTGAATGCCTACGGCAATTTTAATTTGTTTGTATTCCTCCTGATTCAAGGATTTATTATTAACACACTAGTATAATTTTCCACCCAATACACTGAGGAGTTGGTGTATTGAGCTGAAGATCATGGTTTCGAATCCTACACAAATTTTTCATCTCAAAAAAAAAAAATAAATTCCGTCAATTCTTGTATCATGTTGACGGTGTGGAGGGGTTCGCTTGTGGCGATGCCCTGTCCGGGACCTTACGTGCTCTGTTGCAGTGGATTGAGGAAGCCTTCTCGTACTCAGAGATTAAAGAATCTTCAGTGAACTTGGAGGAGGTGACACTGACCCACTCCTCGATAAAGTATTAGTCACGAGTCTTGGGGTTCAGTTCTTCTTTCCCTGCTTGTGGCTGTCACCGTGCCTGCGGTTTGCAGTGTCTTCACTCTGGTTGGGCCAGGTTGTACTTGAAGCTTAATGACCAATAAAATCACAGCCTTAAATTTTTTTCCAACATTTCAGCATACTGTGAGATTTTCAATAAATGGCTTTTGAAAAAAAAAATTAGACTAAATAAACCATTTATTGAAAATGTCACTGTATGCTGAAATGCTGTACATTTGAAAAAAAAGGTTTAATATTTAATTTAACGTGAGGTGCTGGCAATAGCCGTGGTTGCTAGCCAGCTGTAAAAAAATAATAATAATTTTTAGAGAATAATGTTAAATTAAAATAATTTTGCCAGAAATAAACCATATAATTGAAAATGGCACAGTTTACCAAAACATTGTGCATTTGAATAATCCTTTAAAATAGTTAAAAAAAAAAAAAGTAGAAATAACAAAGAAATTATTTCAGCCATTTAATAGATTTAATAGACTATTTCCATTACCAAATTGAATGAATGCAATGAATATAGGTGTAAATGTATTTATTAGTGTGAATGCGTATTGAATGTGTGTTGCAATATTTTTGTATGCGCTCAGGGCTGAAATGAACAATCTGTCGGATGCCCCTTAAAAAAATAAGCCCTGGTGCCTTCCTGTTCTCCCCACCGGACAGGCCCCCATTCCACACATAAATATGTATAAATGTAAAAAGGGATGCAAAGTTTTTTTAAATCAACTTTTTTTATTGAATATTTGTATTCATTTAACAACAATTTACAAATTTAGTACAGATAAATCTAAACATTTTTTTTTACAAAATATTTACAAACTTTGCCATGTTTCCAACAAAGAACTTAAATGTAAAAAATATATATCTACACCATTTCAAAATAAAATTTAAATTTGATCTACTGAGAGAACCAGTTGTTTTATAGAGTCATACGAGTCGTAGATACCGCTATATCCAAGTATTGGTTTCTCACCAATGTACACTTGCGCGTTGAAATCATTGTCAAAGAGGATAACTTTTTTCATAACAGGCAATCCCAAAGGCCCATTGTCAATTTGGACGAGACTGAAATGTCCGTTGTCAGACAGAGTGTGAATGTTCCAAGACGGCATCTCCTTGGACAATTCCTGCATAAGATCGTAAATAGTCACTTCATCGTCCTGATTGGTGGGTTGGCTTTGTTTCTGGTTTTTATCCTTGTCGAGACAGATGAAGTGCAAAAGTACATTATCTTCATCGCTGCTGTCAGAGTCCAGGCTGTCAGTGAATTCACATAAATTGTCCTCGGTGTAAAAATATCGATCAAATGAATTTTCATACTTTTCACTAAAATGAGTGTCTAAATTCCTCCTGTCCAGAACCTGTTCTGAAATCTTTTTACTGGGTAGCTTTTCTTCTGACTTTGAAATCCGATCGTCTTCGTCTTCTTCTGGACTGTCTCTGGCAGGAAGATTCGAGCTTTGATTTACATTTTCAGAGCCGTCCTTCTTTGCAAAAAGGACTCTCCTCTGTTTCCTCTTTTTAGCATCTGTGAGCTGGAGTTGATTGTTTTTACCAGTTTGCTTAAAAATAACAACTACTTCTGTCTCAAGATTGTCTGTCTTTGCGATTAGTTTTTCAAGTTTGTTCTTTTTGAGCTTATTGGGCGAGGATGAAGTCCCTTCTAGATTATCTTCTGATGGCGGAGTGTTCTCTAACCTCGTATTTGCCACCGTGTCGATCGGTTTTTTGCTCTTCACTCTTTTAACTAAAATGTCTGGACCTAGAGCCAGATGTAACGAGCTGTGTTTTGTCTGATTCGTCGGATCAATGTTGGGAGGAGGAAGTGATATATTTACAACTTGCTTTTTTTGTTTTTCCTCCAGCCTTAAACTAATCTTATGTGAATTGCTCATTTCTTCTGCATGCTCATTTTTACAGGATTTGAATTTTTCTCCAGAATTCATTCCATCGAGTTCTGGGATTAAATCAAGAGGAGAGGATGTTCTAAGATCCTTATCTGAAGGTTTTGTTGTGTCTAAAGTATCAATTTGTTTTTCAGGGTTTTCATCGAGTTGTGTTTCTTGATTTTGATCAAGCGACCTTTTCTTCTTCTGTAAAGTCGACTTCAGCTTAGCCTTTGCTTTCTCTTCACTTTTATCTAGTTTCTCAGAATCCGAATCTTCCAAGTGCATGTCTTCACTAACCACATCATCTTTCTTCAATTCTCTTATCTTTGACATCTTGTGTCTCTTCACCTCTGAAACGTCTGAACTGTCCTCACCGGAGAGAAGTCTCAGAACGTCAAACTTGACTTTGCGGTTTTTGAGCCGTTTTGAAGATCTGCTCGGCGTGTCGACCTGCTTGTGCGGTTGCTTGATGAAGTTTTTGATCTCTGTGAGAAGGTCCGGCTCCTCTTCCTGGCTCGTGTTCTCTTCTTCCATCTTCTTCTCCATCTTTCTAGTCGTTATCCTTGATATCCTGTGTATTGTCTTTTTTCTCTCGGGCTTTCCATCCTCTTTCAGCCTGACGACACTGTTTTTAGGGATGTCCAGACGGTCGATTTCGATCCGAAGCGGCTTGCAAACTGTTTCTACAAGCTCTCCGTCCTTTTTAGCGTTCCTTTCTGTCCCCATAACGCAAATAAATACTAAATACTAACGAACTACAACTACAAATTAACAGACACTGCTGAAAATTGCATTTAACACCAATATTTACCCACACTTAAAAATAAACAGAAGGTTTCAATGCTCAAAGCCTGAAAGCAACGATGTTCGTCGTATCGATGATCAATTGACAAAACGCTCCCATTCCGTACCCTGTCATGATATCATGACAGAATCGACCGGGTTATTTCGGCGCGTACATATGGCGGTCGAGTACATGGTGACATCCAGCCATTTCAAACGAGACCTCCCACGAAGAAAAGTGCATGTTTACCCGAAATGTAGCAAACAGAAAAGTTTTGTTTCTTTTTATTTCAATTTTATGCTAAAGTATTACTTCATGTTTTCTTTTCACAAAACTGTGCATTTCAATTGCAAATGAGTAAATTTCATTAGCAAAAGGATGAAATTGATTTGCAAAAGAGTGAAATTAATTTTCAAAACGGAAGTTAATTTGCAAAAGAATGAATTAAATTCCCAAATCCGTGAATTTGATTTGTAAAAGGGTAATTTAATTAATCAAACCGTGAATTTTATTTGAAAATTAGTGAATTTAATTAGCAAAGGGGTGAAATTTATTTGCAAAAGGGCGAAATTGATTCTCAAAAGGGTGAATTAAATTCCTAAAAACGTGAATTTTATTTACAAATAAGTAAATATAATTAGCAAAAGGTTGAAATTGATTTGAAAAAGGGTAAACTTAATTTGCTAAAAAGTGAATTAAATTCCCAAAACCGTGAATTTTATTTGCAAATTAGAGAATTTAATTAGCAAAGGGGTGAAATTTATTTGCAAAAGTGTGAAATTTATTCTCAAACGAATGAATCAAATTCGCAAAACTGGAAATTTTATTTGCAAATGAGTAAATTTAATTAGCAAAAGGTTGAAATTGGTTTGCAAAAGAGTGAAATTGATTCTCAAAATGATGAATTGAATGCCTAAAAACGTGAAATTTATTGCAAATAAGTAAATTTAATTAGCAAAAGGTTGAAATTGATTTGAAAAAGGGTAGGCATAATTTGCTAAAGACAGAATTAAATTCCCAAAACCGTGAATTTTATTTGCAAATTAGTGAATTTAATTAGCAAAGGGGTGAAATTTATTTGCAAAAGTGTGAAATTGATTCTCAAAAGAATGAATCAAATTCGCAAAACTGGAAATTTTATGAGCAAATGAGTAAATTTAATTAGCAAAAGGTTGAAATTGGTTTGCAAAAGAGTGAAATTGATACTCAAAATGGTGAATTTAGTTTCCTCAAGGGTGAATTAAATTGCCAAAATCGTGAATTTTATTTGCAAATAAATAAATTTAATTAGGAAAAAGGTTGAAATTGATTTGCAAAATAGTGAAATTTATCCTCAAAAGGGTGAATTTAGTTTAGTAAAGAGTGAATTAAATTCCCAAAATCGTGAATTTTATTTGCAAATTAGTAAATTTAATTAAGAAAAGGATGAAATTGATTTGCAAAAGGGTGAAATTGATTCTCAAAATGGTGAATTTAATTTCCTAAAGGGTGAATTAAATTCCCCAAACCGTGAATTTTATTTGAAAAACCTGTAATTACAAATGATCAATTTCGCAACTAGGTGAACAATTATAAGTTTTGATTTTTTTCAACTGAACTGAAGAATCGATTAAAACGGGAAAATTGTTGTTTTGGTTTATCTGGCTGTTCCGACGGGCTTGGGAGTTGGTAACCCCCGGGATCACCTCTCCTCTTAAGAGGTTATAAAAGTGAAATTCTATCGAATAGATCACGGCCAGTTTCGCGACCTGGAGCTGTCTAAATTTAATGATCCCTGGTCGATATTATTTCGAAACAGTTCATTTATGAACAAGAAGAAAATTATGAAATTGAAAAAAAAGTAATCTAAGGTTAGTTGAATCGGCGTTTTGTCCTTATGTTAAAGTGTAACATATTTTATCCAAACTTGTCTTACCCCTTGTTCTGAGAGTGACAACAAATCTTTACTGACAATGAAGCTTTTAAATAATATACACAAGAAGTTTTTTAATCTGGAAGAGACTTTTCTTTCAAACCTGGTGACAGTTTGACACAACAAACGCTTTTTGTTGATACAATTTTAATATAAATGACCAAGCACTGATTGTTTTGTTACAGAAAGAAGAGAAGATGAATGGGGAATACAAGAAAGAATCGCCTGAAAGGGTTAACAGGCCTACACAACAATTTATGAAGTTGTCGTCTTACTTGCTCGCTGTGAGACCGTGGTCTCTTTCAGCTTCTGTGATGCCAACTCTACTCGGCTGTGCAATCGCGTATAAATTCATGCCCCAGACGATAGAGTTTAGTTGGGCGATTCTAGTGCTGACTTTGCTGACTGTGATTTCCGTTCATTGTGCTGGAAATGTCGTTAACACTTATTACGATTATGTGAAAGGGATCGACAACAGGAAGAGCGATGACAGGATATTGGTGGATCACATTCTCTCCAAGGATGAGGTCGTTTCGCTAGGTGTCATGCTGTACACGCTGGGCTGCTTGGGATTCGTCGTACTGGCGATGATGTCCCCTGCGAAGATGGAGCACCTTGCGCTCGTTTATTTTGGAGGACTCTCAAGCTCATTTTTGTACACAGGTGGCATTGGTTTGAAGTATATAGCCTTAGGCGATGTCCTCATTTTAATCATATTTGGCCCGATTTCCGTTCTTTTTGCATACATGTCACAGACAGGTGCTTTGCAATGGTCAACAATATTTTTTGCTGTGCCTTTGGCGCTCAACACCGAGGCGATTCTTCACAGCAATAATACGAGGGATTTGGAGAGCGACAGCAAAGCTGGCATTGTCACTTTGGCGATTCTTATTGGTCATACGGCCTCACACATTCTTTATGCTTTTCTTTTGTTCACTCCTTACATCATATTTGTAGTCTATTCGATGCGTTATTCGCTTTGGTTCCTTCTCCCACTCATCACACTACCTTCGGCTTTCAGGCTGGAAAAACAGTCAAGGGCGGCAGAATCTATCAAGAGAGTACCGAAGCAAACGGCCAAGCTGAATCTTTATTTCGGATTCCTTTATGTGCTAGCCGTCACTCTTACAGATGTACACTACCTTCCGTTTATTCACTAAGTTTTATATTTTATAAAAGTGGTGTTGCATTATAAATTTTGATATCAGAAAAATGGGACTTTTCTTAGAATTAATTTATGTGATGGTGTGTATAATGTGTAAATAAATAATTGAAAAAACAAAACAAAAAACAAGTAAAGTGGTAAACAATTTCAACGAATTATTTATAATTTGTACGTTACTTATATATTTATATAAGTTGTAAAATAGATGGATAGTTTAAGATGCTCCAAGTACTTATATATTTATTTTATTTTTTATTAAGAATATGCTTTAGAATAATGTTCAACAATTTCCATATAAAAGGGAATGCGTTATTGTTTTAAATTACATGTTGTATTAGGAAAGGGAAGGCCTGAAGATCTTCTCATGCTTATTCATATTCTTCACCAATTTGTGATGCGGCCAAGCCTTGTATTGTAGGCTTTTTTATGTTGGCCATAAAGCGTAACTAAAGCGCAGTCTTCCATTTGTACTACTGTAAATTTCTAGAAAACTCAATAATGCTAAATCATTAATTCAATGAAATGGATTTCATTTGATTACTAAATGAGGTGATGTGAATAATCTGTATATAAGAAAAGGTTTTTAAAAAAAATTTTGTTTCACGTATTTCATTCTTTACAATATTCAGATATTTGTGATTTTTTCCTTAGGATTTCAATAAAAGGGATACAATTGCTTTTTGATTCTAATTCCCTTTTATCAATATGTTGAGTGATTAATATTCCACCTAATAAAAACTCTCAACTAAGCAGGAAACCTTATTTTGTCTCTTGTTTGAACAATTTAAATGCATAATAAAGTTTTTTAGAATATATCTTAAAAAACATGATTTCAACGAATTATTAATACATACTTTTATTATCATTTTGTATTTAAACAATGGAAGTTATGTTATGCATTTTATATGTTTTACCTTGTTGAAGATTGCATTTTTTCAAAGTTTATTTAATTTCTAAAAAAGTATCTTTTATATAATTATTTTTTATTGCCTTAATGCAAAATCTAATTAGTTCCTTAAGGATTATTTAACTAAGTATGTGTGTTAAATGTTATTAAGATTTAATTAAATAATAAAGAAAATTGACAATATACTTAGTATGAATATGTTATAACTAATTTTGTTCATGAGAATATTCTCTCTCCTCCCCCCTTGCCGAATCAAAATTTATTTCTTCAGAAAAAACAACAAATGTTTTCTTACCCAACTTTTATAGAAAAGTATCTGGAATTTATTTTAATATACTTATGGAAATTATTATTTTAAAAGATATCAATAATGTAAAATCAAACAATTACATTTATTACGTTAACCGAGTCTTCGTTTCCTTTTGTCCACATAACTAATAGTACGGATTTTTAAGCCTTAAAGGGAATAAAATTAGAGTATATGTTGATCAGAAAATGTGATTTTAATAGAAAATAATTCACGTTTGTTACATTATTTGTAAACATTTTCATTTCGCTATTTATTTTCATCTTGCTAGGCACAATGTCACAGTTTATTTAAAACCTTCCAGTGTATGGAGAATAGAGTTATGGAATGACTCATTTGGGCTGCTGAGAATGGGCCAATGAGGCTGTAGCGGTTTTTTTCACGATAGAACATTCAGTTTTCCTTTCTCAACTATCCATCTCTGAAACCAGATAAAGTATTGACAAACGAGTGCTCCTGGGTGGGGCTCTGAATTCAACATTAATTAACAACTATGAACGGTTAATAGTTACATTCTGAATTTTTATAATAAAACAAGCCATGTATCTTAATTCGACAGAGAATGGGTACAAATTGAAATGGGCCAACCAATCGGATGAATCAAATAAACCTTAAGACATGCACATTTATTACAATTACTAGTAGCTCTTTTAATGAATCCCACCATATGAGAGGCCTTTGATATTACAATTTCAATATAATTAGAAAATTTAAGACAATCTTCTAAAATAACACCTAAATCACAAACTATTTTAACATGTGTAACTCACAAACCATTCATAGTCATAGGCAATAGAAGTGAGTAAAAAAAGCAAGTCAGTCTGGAGGCTGCTACAATCATTGATAGATTCCTATATTTTATAGATCTTTATATCATCTGCAAAGGTTAATCAAGAAGAATAATCACAGCAGAAGAGCATTAAGACAATATAAAAAGGATATGACTGAGAATACTTAATTTCCTCTGTTTCTTTTGCACATTGTTTTTTTTTTTAATTTAAGAATTGAGTTGCTTCACCTTAATTAAAACTAAACAAAAGATACCAGCCCTGATCTAGGCTCTTCATGCAGCATTAGAGTTAGATAAGCTCTTTTCAATTTTTTTTGGCCAACTTTAGTTGAATTCAATGTTGAGTTATCTAGGCTGAACAAACATAATACCTAATTTTCTCTTGTAATAATCCTCATTGTTACAGTTTAGTAAATTTTGCGAACTAGAGCAACAGGGAAGAATTAGTTATTCATTTTAATTATTGAAGCAACAATTTTACTTGCAGTTTAAAAAATAAATAATTACTGTTGTAAAAGGCACAAAAAATTAAAAATAAATAAAAATATTAAAGCTACTTTTCTTTAACTCTCCCTTCACATTTAAAGTTAATAACAAGATCATAAAAATAGATGAATATTGATAGGTACTTTTGTAGAGTATAACACGTCATGTAGTTTCTGTTTTCTGAGGGATCAAAATAGATTTTCATCATGAAACCTAGGTAAATTTCATTTTTTTTTAAATTTTAAATTGGAATCAAATAGTTCCTAAATGAGGATAATGTTGTTAAATACATTCTTGTTGGTTCAAGAACCAGTTCCTTTCGCTGATGATGGCGTGAAGAGACTATGCCAATGGGTGAAATGTAAGAAACCAGAAGAATAGATACCAAATGAACCCAGTAAAGTACAATAAAAGTATGTTATGGTAAATTCCAATAAAATCAGGCTAACATTAAATTCTATTAATTATAAACAAAAGAAGAACGTTGATATCTCCTGCAAGAAAAACCCGTTAGTAGTTTAACGATCCTTGTTTCCTGTCGGTCACAGTATTTTTAAAAAAATAAAAAATGAGGTCAAATAGCTGTTGGATTCTTCTTGAAGTTACAGAATACGTTCGTTTAGAAAATAATCCTATCGGTTGGCACCATCTCTTGGCTACTGAGGCAAGTTGACCCCTTGCATAGCGCCACCGACTCAAACCGACCGAACCCCGTCGGCAGGTAGCAGGGTCCGTCAGTACTCGTTTAGTCTCCAGTCCGGAATGAACGCCAGCCTGGGCCCGAGGCTGCTCAAGGCATGCGGGAAATTTCTTCCTGCTTCGAAGCGTGACTTGTGCACTCGGTTGACCCGGACCGGCTCTCTTGGGGACGCATACCTCAAGACGAAGCAGAAGTGCGAATGTGAGTAGCCTTGGAGCGATAGGTCCGCCTTGACCTGTACATGCTGTATTAATAGTTCGTTTTCAGCCAAGAAGCTACCTTTGGACGTGGATCCAAAAGGGGTTTTTGCCTGCAATGAGCTTGATCTCAAAGAAGTCAACATCTATGGATTTGACTACGACTACACCCTGGCTGTGTACAAAGATTCGATGGATTTGCTTCTTTACAACCTAGGAAGAGAAACTCTTATCACCAAATGCAAGGTATTTTTAAAACTACTAAAATAATTATCAAAATTAGGCAATTTATTAACCAAAAATTCGTTTTATAAGATTAATAATCCATCAGAAAAAAAATTTCTTTCGTTGCACAAAATTATATATTTTTATCTATAACAGCCTTTTTTGTTTGAGCTTTTATTCATAAGTATGCTTTGCAGGTCTTTTACTCAATTTCTCACGTCAAGAACTACCAAGTATTTTTATGTTTCTTTGTTTAAATTTTAGAATTTTTAATATGTATGTTGACGATTTATATTGATGAAAAATGTTAAACAATAACTACTTAAATGAATTATTTAACAACATAATATTCATAGGCTTTTAGAAGCTTAATAATTAGGTAAATGAAATTATAAAAAATAAGGTTTACGTATCCAGTTATTTTATGGCCCGTGGTTTGGTGACAATTTTGCGTTGTAAAAATATTGATTAGCATGTTTAAAGAAATCAAAATGTAATTATTTTTTACATTATGGTTTATTTAATTGCAATCTGATATTTTTGATTTTCGTTTTCATAAAATTAAGTTTCACTATTTTTCCATAAAAATTACTTTTGCCGAAAATTATAACGAAAATGTTTTAAACTGAATGAATTTAACAATTAACAAAATATTTAGAATTGTATATTGAAAAGCAATCAAACTTTTCAAAAAGTATACAAAAATATTTTGTAATTTAATGTGTTCAAAATTTTTTGAGTATACTTTTGTTGAGAAATATTGGACCGTCATTTAAACAGAGAAATCGTGAAAATCAAATATCCTCTAGCTATACCAAGTTAAATTTGTTTGTTAATATAATAACAAGTTGTCTTGGTTAACGATAAAACATTGTGATCCCAGGTTCGTAAGATCGTTTTACGTTTGTTGACTAAAATCCACTCGCCAATAAAATAAGTACAGATTATAAAAAGCAGAATTGCCAGATTAAATAATTTTATTGATTTTTAATAATGAAAAATGTTAAACAATAGCCTCCATGAGAGAAATATTTAAACATTTATAAAAAAAGTTGGTATTTGTAAAACTTCAGAAATAATTTTCAAATATATGCAAATCGTTCAACAATACGACCTATCGCACGTAAAATCGGGAACCTTCGCAAATACCCAGAGAAAAAAAAACCCGGCCAATTTTATTGTTTATTTCAGACTACGCGTATTTTTATCATTGTATTAATTACACACTTACACTTATTTTAATGTTAACCAAAGTAAACGATTTTTTGATGATGTCCATCCTGATTTTGTGGAACTGCATAATAAGATGACGGGTAGGAAATAAATTGTCTTTTCCATAATTGGTACTTAATAAGTCAGACGCGTTTCGGTCTAATTAAACTATCTTCAGTGACTTTTTTTAATATAAAGTCGATAATTAGACAGACTACTCGCCAAGTCGCCAAGTGTAAAAAAACCTTCAAACCACTTTATGTAAAAAAAGTCACTGAAGATAGTTTAATTAGACCGAAACGCGTCTGACTTATTAAGTACCAATTGTGAAAAAGACAATTTATTTCCTACCCGTCATCTTATTATGCAGTTCCACAAAATCAGGATGGACATCATCAAAAAATCGTTTACTTTGGTATACGATATGAGTTAAGATATATTAGACAGAAACGTACAAAATCGGAAATAGTTTTGAGTTAAAAGTTAACTAACAATTATTTCCTAGTGTTGCTATAACGTGCTCCTCTGACCTCGCGGATGACCTTAAGACTCCGAGACATCGAGTAAATAAGCGATCGGATTATTCGACTTGTGAGACAGAATCCCATTATTCAACAAGAGTCTCTTTACCATAATCCATAAATCTATGAGATCATATCAGGAGAACGTGCTGGCCAATTTATTGTGGTAATCCTTACATCGCCAAGAGGGTGCCAATCGAGCTAAATGCGGTTGAGCATGCAGTGGCATGAATTTGTCCCCAATAAATGGTACGAATAGGACCACAGCTTCCAGAAAATTTATTTTATTTAATTTATTTCTTGAGATTGTCGAAATTGCATTAAAAATTATTAATTAAGGAGATATTAAGAAAATTGTTTGAATTAATATTTCTCTCTCTCTCTCTCTCTCTCTCTCTCTCTCTCTCTCTCTCTCTTGCTAATTATTCCGTTTTGCATTTATTCACAAATCGTCGTTCGTCGATCAGAAAAAATACCAAATTACAGGTCAAGCTCATTATCTTATCTCTTTAATAGGAAATCGGTGTTCAAAAAAACTCTTTTTGTTTGGCAACCCATCGGAAAACAGCAGGACGCATTCAAGAACACGACGATAGGGAATGTACAATTTAAACTTGTATTTAGTAATTTATTTTAAGCGCTAAAATCCATGGTCATACCGGTTGGACCGGTCGAGCCAAGGCACAAACAGTGAAAATATATAAAAGAACATTTCAGCCTCGAAGAAATAATGCCGATAAATAAATATTAGCTCACTTCAACAATTGAAGTTTTATGTTAGACAAAAAAGAAAACACTCATAGTTTTATTAAATGGCGACAATAAAACATGTTTCTCTTTAATTATTGTTAATAACTTGATTGAATGGGAATCAAGGTGAAAATTCACTTCAATTTTTCTGTTCGTGAATGAAATGTGCACAGACAGAATTACTGAGAAAAATAGAGTGTATATTAGTAAAATGTATAATTTCCCTAAAAATTATTATATGGATGTTTCCAATTACTTGCCAATTATACACCAACTGGCAAAAAATTCCACCTATACCGGTACCCATATAACTTGTTTTGTATATATTTTTATATATTAATCAAAGTCTCACTTTTTTAACGTTTAATAATTGAGTCTTTGTCTAAAACAGTAAAAAAATGTAAATTGCTAAAGGAAAAAACGGATAGATAACAGATTTGTTTTAGATTTTTAATTAACATTTTAATATCGTGTATTTCCTCCTCTTGCCTTAATTACGTCTGGAAGACATCTCGGCATATTTTATACCAGTCTGAAAATGACTCTTTGCAGGTTAGCCCATTCTTCAAGAACGAGACCTTTCAAGATCGTGGAGTGTATCAGGAAGTGATGGACGTGCTCATATTCATCTTTTGTGTTTTGTCTTAACTTTTATCCCATAAATGGAGAAGGTACGTTTGTACTAAGCGAGCGACATGTGGACGGGCATTATCGTGCATTAGAATAGTCGCTGATGTTCCAAACTTTCATCCACATAACGAGTGGCCATCAAAGACCACGAACAACAACCAACTGTGTGCGACTCTCCATTGAAATTTCCTCCCACCATCACTGAGCGTTAAAAGGTCGGCTCTGGGAAAAATTACAAGCTTCGTACCTTTTAGTTCTCCTTTTCCACACTCTTTCACGCCAATCTGGAGATCGTAGAGCAAATCTACACTCCTCTGTACCAAGTACAGGACACCATTCGTCCAAAGACCAATGGCTGTGTTATCAAGCCAATGGGAGCCTTGCAACTCGGTGGTCAATTCTGGTCCTCTTACGGGGCAAAAAACCATCGGTCCATACTGATTTAACCTTCTTCGAGCAATGCGTTCAGAAATTTGGACACCTCCAACTTCCTAGAGCTGATGAATCGCATGAATTTAAGCACATATTTATTTAAGTAAGCTGCCGGTTTCGCAAAATTCAAGAAAGTCGTAGACGATATGTTATGCATATGGCCGGGAACATTAGAGGATCTCAAAGAATTCCTTCAACTAATTAATTCTCTACACCGTAATATAAATTTTACATTGGAAATTAACAAAGATGGTTGTTTGAACTTTTTAGTAATAAACAACCTAATAGAAATAGATGTATTCACTATTAGGGGTTCACTTTTGCAATTCACGTCGAGAGACGTGGTTGTAGAAGTCCTTCAACCTGATGATGAGCTAAAGGGCTCGAAATCCGGATCGTTGCAAAACAACTTACTGTGAGTAGGAACTATATTTTTAAAAAGGGTTGAACACCACACTCTCTATCATTTATCATTTCTATTGAAAAATCCTTTATCCATAGAAATGATAAATGATGGAGTGAGTGTGGTGTTCAATACTTTTAAAAAGGATAGTTCCTACTCACAGTAAGTTGTTTTTGCAACTATCCGGATTTCGAGCGTTTTAGCCCATCATCAGGTTGAAGGACTTCTACAACCACGTCTCTCGACATGAATTGCCAAANTTAATCTAATTATTTTAATTGTTATTATTTTTATAGTAATTTATAGTACTATTAAGTATTTACTATTCTAATATTTATTTGTGTTATAATTTCCGCGTTTCAGTTTTTTCGCGAACAGAAAAATTGATCTAGCTTTTATGTACAATATTGAATAGGTATGTAATGAATACGATGGCCTTATTGGAGAGGTATTGAAAATTTTTAGTAGTAATAAGGACAAAACATGAATTTTTTTATTTGAGATGCTGGGTGGTATGTTAAACGTCAGAAAGTGAAAAAGCTTTGGGAGGGACTGATAATTGTATGGGAGAGGGCAATGTTGTGTTATATTGTGAGGTAGATCAATAATATTTATCCAGATTCAATGTTCCAGATAAATAGTGTAAAAATAGCAGAGAGAAAAATCATATTTTACATTTCTTTTTGCAATATTTATTAAGTCTAACTTAAAAAAAAGATTCCTTTAACTTTATAGTTTACATCTAATTAATTATTAATCACCCTGTTTGTAAAGTTTGTTATACTATTTGCAATAATCTTGAACAAAAATTCTATCAAGCGAGTCTTCGTATTTTTTTATGTTTGCTCTCTTCCTTCAGTTTGCTCTCTGGATTGCTGTTACGTGATACGACATGAATTTCTCTAATTTGACGGCATCCGATAAAACGGAATTTATTGAACGAACACAACCCCTTGAAAGATAAATCCCGATCTCGACAGTAGAAGAAACGAATCCTTATTGAAGAAGTTGAGGTTTAAGTTCAACTGTTACCAACGCAGATACTTAATTTTTTTGTACAATTGTTAAATGCC